AAACATGTTTTTTGAAAATCAAACTAAGAAAAATTTCCAAAGCCTCTTACTTAAATTAAACTTCAGTTTATTTTTGTCTTAAAATCTTAATCTTTTCAGTCAATACAAATATTTCTATAAATTACTGTCGAGTATGTGTTCAAATGAATTATTTATCTCAAATAATAAAAATATTTGGGTCCTGAAAAGGACCATTGGGCAATATATATTGTTATTGCATTGTTAGTTGAATGTTATTAACTTAACCTCCGAAACCGTAGAGGGTGCGACCTTGTCTTTTCAAAGCATATACAACATCCATAGCTGTAACAGTCTTCCTTTTGGCATGTTCTGTATATGTAACTGCATCACGGATCACATTTTCCAGAAATACCTTCAATACACCACGAGTTTCTTCGTAAATCAAACCAGAAATACGCTTAACTCCACCACGGCGAGCCAAACGTCTAATAGCTGGTTTCGTGATACCTTGGATGTTATCACGAAGAACTTTGCGATGACGCTTAGCACCACCTTTTCCCAAACCTTTACCACCTTTACCACGACCAGTCATTTTGAGTTTATAATTTTAGTACAGATAATACTTGTCTATTCAGACTTAAACAGTAAATAAATTCCACACTAGATACGCACAGTATTTATAGAAAAAATGAACAATACAAAAGATATGAGTGACAATGCTTAAATACAACAAATTACTCAAAGGCACTCAAATAATTTAGGGTAGAAATAAACAATGTAAAGGATATGAAGGATATGAAGGATATGAAGGACAATGACTGTTTGAACATGTGAACAGTTGAGATGGATCATAAGAGTTTGTTTTGAAATTTACTCTCTCAACATTTTTTCGTTAAATTAAATTTTATTTAACAATTTGTTTAATTATGGCTCGTACAAAGCAAACTGCTCGTAAATCGACTGGTGGTAAGGCACCACGTAAACAATTGGCTACTAAGGCCGCACGCAAAAGTGCGCCCGCAACTGGCGGTGTAAAAAAACCACATCGTTATCGTCCGGGAACTGTAGCTTTGCGTGAAATTCGTCGCTACCAAAAGAGTACAGAGCTCTTAATTCGCAAACTGCCATTCCAGCGTTTAGTCCGTGAAATTGCACAGGATTTCAAAACTGATTTACGTTTCCAGAGTTCTGCTGTAATGGCTCTGCAAGAAGCTAGCGAAGCATACTTGGTGGGACTTTTTGAAGACACTAACTTATGCGCTATTCATGCTAAACGCGTAACCATTATGCCAAAAGATATTCAATTGGCGAGACGTATTCGTGGAGAACGTGCTTAAGAAGCACTTTTAAAAAAATTTTTAAAAATCGGTCCTTTTCAGGACCAAAATTAATTAAAGAAAAGAGATAGTTAATAGTCATATTCAAATTGATAATACTCAGACGAAATGAATAAAAGCAATCGAAATTCTTTGTAATTTAACTTTTCGTTTATAGTATTTATATATGTTTGTAACACTGTATTTAAATTTCACACCTGGTTACTAGTATTAACCATAAGATCATAACGGGTAATTACTTGGGACCAAGATCGCCGATGTTATTGAAATTTAGTAGTTATTTTGCTTTGTTGCTTGTTCAAATTATTAACTTAATATAACAATTGAAGGACTTGTATTAAATTCTTATTACTATAAAGAGATGAAGTTTCACTTTTCACGCTGTGGCTTTCGATTAAGATCGACCAGTGGACACAGTACAAAGTTTTGAATTTATTTCATCTAATAGATAAATAGATTATAATAAAAAAAATTTTGAAATATTACGTAAATGTGAGAACAGAAACAGCATATACTGACTTGAGAAGCTATCTAATAGTTTAAAGAGCTACATCCAAAAAAAAAACACAAATACCATGGATAATATAAAGTTATAGGCATACATGAAGAAGAGTAAATGTGCTAATTTGATGATGAGGTTTAAGTTAGTAATTCAAACGGCTTTATTTTTCATATTTCGAATCCTGTCGATTTAGAATCAAATTTGGAAATGGAAAGCTTTTCATTTGTTAACGATGTCTTGTCAAAGTTGTCAAAACATTTAAAAACTCAAATATTTTACAAATACTCTGTTCTAATTTGATGATCTTCTGTTAAACTATTATAAACTCTGTCAGAACAATTCTTAATAATAACGAAACCAACCGACTTCTATTATCTGACAATAGATAAAAACTGCAATTTTGTTTAACATATATAGTTATAGGTCAGTGATGACACCATATACCTCGGTATCATTATTTCTAAATAATTTATTAGGTAAGGTTTTTTTTGAATATACCATATTGTTAATTTTTATTTGAGAATTGTGACTCTCTGTATTTTAATTGAAACCTAATAACTATGCTATAATCAGAGTGAACTAAGTTCTCTAATTTTTTGGTTTTGATGATATTTTTTGTTCCGATACAAGTACTCAATGCAGTTTACTATTTCAATCGTTTTAGGAATGTTCTTTATTTGTGAAGTCTATACTAATAATTTTAAGATCAATTATCGACTTTAATTAAATATTTTTGTGGCCCTGAAAAGGACCGTTGGAGTTAATGTTGATTGTTCAATACAAAGAAATTTACTTGGAACTGGTATACTTAGTGACGGCTTTAGTACCTTCACTAACTGCGTGCTTAGCCAATTCTCCAGGAAGTAAAAGGCGAACTGCAGTCTGAATTTCCCGACTAGTAATTGTGGATCGTTTGTTATAGTGGGCCAAACGTGAAGCTTCAGCAGCAATGCGTTCGAATATATCATTCACAAAGCTGTTCATGATGCTCATAGCCTTGGATGAAATACCAGTATCAGGATGAACTTGCTTCAATACTTTATAAATGTAAATAGCATAACTTTCCTTCCTCCTGCGCTTCTTCTTCTTATCGTTCTTAGTTATATTCTTCTGAGCCTTTCCGTCCTTCTTGACCGCTTTTCCGCTAGTTTTTGGTGGCATGATTTCAAATGTAAATTTTCAAATTTTCAATTTTTCGAATTCTCAAATTTGAACTACCCTCGCTCAGAATTTAAGTATTTTTAAAACAGAAATTTCAAGAAATTCTCTCTTCACATTAGGGGATGAAAAAGGTATAAATTCTTGGTGTTTGCCTGTTTTCAACTTAGATCACGTAGATCAACTTAACAATCAAATACTATTGAAATATGTCTGGTCGTGGTAAAGGAGGTAAAGTTAAGGGCAAGGCAAAGTCTCGCTCAAATCGTGCTGGATTACAATTTCCAGTTGGTCGTATTCATCGATTGTTGCGTAAAGGCAACTATGCTGAACGCGTTGGTGCCGGCGCTCCCGTCTACTTAGCTGCTGTAATGGAATATTTGGCAGCTGAAGTTCTTGAATTGGCTGGCAATGCAGCACGCGATAATAAGAAGACAAGAATCATACCCCGTCATTTACAATTGGCCATCCGTAATGACGAAGAATTAAACAAATTGTTGTCTGGTGTTACAATCGCACAAGGTGGTGTATTACCAAACATCCAAGCTGTACTTTTGCCTAAGAAAACAGAAAAGAAGGCTTAAACTATATCTTACAACACTGTTTCTTTCGAAATTTTCGAACAACAACCGTCCTTTTCAGGACGATCAATTTATTTAATTAAAGAAAACATACTTCATTTCAAACAATTATTATTTATATAAAAATTTCTTTTAGAGCGTTTTTCGAATAGCAAAGAAAGAAATAAAGGACAAACACAAAATTTTTATATTAATTTTTATTGAAATTTGGCTGACCATACAACGCTGTTTCGAGTATTACCAAATACTCTTTATCAGTGGTCTTAGGTTGTATGCAATTCTATTAAATTTTACTCAAACATGAATTTTATCTCATATATTTTGGCGCGTAAATGCAGATAACAAAATTACTCAAGTTCCATCTTCATTTCATTTCGGCTTATAGTTTCTTACTCAATTTTACTCACACTCACACTCATATACTCACACTCATTCGGCTTGGAAGTATATGTATGCATTGTAAATATAGTTCTTGAATGTCCTTGGTTTTCGTGTGAACTGTACTGGCAATTTTGCCAGTTACTTTTTTTTTAATACAAAATGAATGCTATAATAATGCAACCCCTAAACATTTCAGTTCACATACCAGTAGGTAGAAATTTTCCCGCCATAATTTTAACTGCTACCAAACGAAAGATATAATTTTAAAAGCATCTGTGTTATTAAAAAAATATCTTTCTCTCTTTGGAACTTATTTTCTGTGTGGTAGGAAACTGAAGGAAACTGATATATATTTTTTTATAGATTTATTCAATTCAGGTACACATTTAAATACTAAGTGTTACGAGTATAAATAGAATTTCATTATGAGATATTGGTTTTCAATATTGTTTCAGGCCATGTTGCCATGTAAATTCACATTGAGAATGATAGTATAGACAAAAAACTTAAACAATTATTTGTATAATTATTGGAGCTAACAATTAAGTTCTCTATGCATTGTAAACTTTTCTAAGAACCGAAATGTTACATACATCTTTGTTATATTTACTTCTTCTTTATTGAGAAATATCAAATCTTGAAATATTCTCAGACATTTCTATATCTAATACCAGCTTGTCAAAAAAAAAACAACTTTGAATTTCTACATTAAAACATGTTTTTTGAAAATCAAAGTGAGAAAAATTTCCAAAGCCTCTTACTTAAATTAAACTTCAGTTTATTTTTGTCTTAAAATCTTAATCTTTACAGTCAATACAAATATTTCTATAAATTACTGTCGAGTATGTGTTCAAATGAATTATTTATCTCAAATAATAAAAATATTTGGGTCCTGAAAAGGACCATTGGGCAATATATATTGTTATTGCATTGTTAGTTGAATGTTATTAACTTAACCTCCGAAACCGTAGAGGGTGCGACCTTGTCTTTTCAAAGCATATACAACATCCATAGCTGTAACAGTCTTCCTTTTGGCATGTTCTGTATATGTAACTGCATCACGGATCACATTTTCCAGAAATACCTTCAATACACCACGAGTTTCTTCGTAAATCAAACCAGAAATACGCTTAACTCCACCACGGCGAGCCAAACGTCTAATAGCTGGTTTCGTGATACCTTGGATGTTATCACGAAGAACTTTGCGATGACGCTTAGCACCACCTTTTCCCAAACCTTTACCACCTTTACCACGACCAGTCATTTTGAGTTTATAATTTTAGTACAGATAATACTTGTCTATTCAGACTTAAACAGTAAATAAATTCCACACTAGATACGCACAGTATTTATAGAAAAAATGAACAATACAAAAGATATGAGTGACAATGCTTAAATACAACAAATTACTCAAAGGCACTCAAATAATTTAGGGTAGAAATAAACAATGTAAAGGATATGAAGGATATGAAGGACAATGACTGTTTGAACATGTGAACAGTTGAGATGGATCATAAGAGTTTGTTTTGAAATTTACTCTCTCAACATTTTTTCGTTAAATTAAATTTTATTTAACAATTTGTTTAATTATGGCTCGTACAAAGCAAACTGCTCGTAAATCGACTGGTGGTAAGGCACCACGTAAACAATTGGCTACTAAGGCCGCACGCAAAAGTGCGCCCGCAACTGGCGGTGTAAAAAAACCACATCGTTATCGTCCGGGAACTGTAGCTTTGCGTGAAATTCGTCGCTACCAAAAGAGTACAGAGCTCTTAATTCGCAAACTGCCATTCCAGCGTTTAGTCCGTGAAATTGCACAGGATTTCAAAACTGATTTACGTTTCCAGAGTTCTGCTGTAATGGCTCTGCAAGAAGCTAGCGAAGCATACTTGGTGGGACTTTTTGAAGACACTAACTTATGCGCTATTCATGCTAAACGCGTAACCATTATGCCAAAAGATATTCAATTGGCGAGACGTATTCGTGGAGAACGTGCTTAAGAAGCACTTTTAAAAAAATTTTTAAAAATCGGTCCTTTTCAGGACCAAAATTAATTAAAGAAAAGAGATAGTTAATAGTCATATTCAAATTGATAATACTCAGACGAAATGAATAAAAGCAATCGAAATTCTTTGTAATTTAACTTTTCGTTTATAGTATTTATATATGTTTGTAACACTGTATTTAAATTTCACACCTGGTTACTAGTATTAACCATAAGATCATAACGGGTAATTACTTGGGACCAAGATCGCCGATGTTATTGAAATTTAGTAGTTATTTTGCTTTGTTGCTTGTTCAAATTATTAACTTAATATAACAATTGAAGGACTTGTATTAAATTCTTATTACTATAAAGAGATGAAGTTTCACTTTTCACGCTGTGGCTTTCGATTAAGATCGACCAGTGGACACAGTACAAAGTTTTGAATTTATTTCATCTAATAGATAAATAGATTATAATAAAAAAAATTTTGAAATATTACGTAAATGTGAGAACAGAAACAGCATATACTGACTTGAGAAGCTATCTAATAGTTTAAAGAGCTACATCCAAAAAAAAACACAAATACCATGGATAATATAAAGTTATAGGCATACATGAAGAAGAGTAAATGTGCTAATTTGATGATGAGGTTTAAGTAAGTAATTCAAACGGCTTTATTTTTCATATTTCGAATCCTGTCGATTTAGAATCAAATTTGGAAATGGAAAGCTTTTCATTTGTTAACGATGTCTTGTCAAAGTTGTCAAAACATTTAAAAACTCAAATATTTTACAAATACTCTGTTCTACTTTGATGATCTTCTGTTAAACTATTATAAACTCTGTCAGAACAATTCTTAATAATAACGAAACCAAATCCGACTTCTATTATCTGACAATAGATAAAAACTGCAATTTTGTTTAACATATATAGTTATAGGTCGGTGATGACACCATATACCTCGGCATCATTAATTCTAAATAAATTATTAGGTAAGGTTTTTTTTGAATATACCATATTGTTAATTTTTCTTTGAGAATTGTAACTCTCTGTATTTTAATTGAAACCTAATAACTATGCTATAATCAGAGTGAATTAAATTATCTAATTTTTTGGTTTTGATGATGTTTTTTGTTCCGATACAAGTACTCAATGCAGTTTACTATTTCAATCGTTTTAGGAATGTTCCTTTATTTGTGAAGTCTATACTAATAATTTTAAGATCAATTATCGACTTTAATTAAATATTTTTGTGGTCCTGAAAAGGACCGTTGGAGTTAATGTTGATTGTTCAATACAAAAAAATTTACTTGGAACTGGTATACTTAGTGACAGCTTTAGTACCTTCACTAACTGCGTGCTTAGCCAATTCACCAGGAAGTAAAAGGCGAACTGCAGTTTGAATTTCCCGACTAGTAATTGTGGATCGTTTGTTATAGTGGGCCAAACGTGAAGCTTCAGCAGCAATGCGCTCGAATATATCATTCACAAAGCTGTTCATGATGCTCATAGCCTTGGATGAAATACCAGTATCAGGATGAACTTGCTTCAATACTTTATAAATGTAAATAGCATAACTTTCCTTCCTCCTGCGCTTCTTCTTCTTATCGTTCTTAGTTATATTCTTCTGAGCCTTTCCGTCCTTCTTGACCGCTTTTCCGCTAGTTTTTGGTGGCATGATTTCAAATGTAAATTTTCAAATTTTCAATTTTTCGAATTCTCAAATTTGAACTACCCTCGCTCAGAATTTAAGTATTTTTAAAACAGAAATTTCAAGAAATTCTCTCTTCACATTAGGGGATGAAAAAGGTATAAATTCTTGGTGTTTGCCTGTTTTCAACTTAGATCACGTAGATCAACTTAACAATCAAATACTATTGAAATATGTCTGGTCGTGGTAAAGGAGGTAAAGTTAAGGGCAAGGCAAAGTCTCGCTCAAATCGTGCTGGATTACAATTTCCAGTTGGTCGTATTCATCGATTGTTGCGTAAAGGCAATTATGCTGAACGCGTTGGTGCCGGCGCTCCCGTCTACTTAGCTGCTGTAATGGAATATTTGGCAGCTGAAGTTCTTGAATTGGCTGGCAATGCAGCACGCGATAATAAGAAGACAAGAATCATACCCCGTCATTTACAATTGGCCATCCGTAATGACGAAGAATTAAACAAATTGTTGTCTGGTGTTACAATCGCACAAGGTGGTGTATTACCAAACATCCAAGCTGTACTTTTGCCTAAGAAAACAGAAAAGAAGGCTTAAACTATATCTTACAACACTATTTCTTTCGAAATTTTCGAACAACAACCGTCCTTTTCAGGACGATCAATTTATTTAATTAAAGAAAACATACTTCATTTCAAACAATTATTATTTATATAAAAATTTCTTTTAGAGCGTTTTTCGAATAGCAAAGAAAGAAATAAAGGACAAACACAAAATTTTTATATTAATTTTTATTGAAATTTGGCTGACCATACAACGCTGTTTCGAGTATTACCAAATACTCTTCATCAGTGGTCTTAGGTTGTATGCAATTCTATTAAATTTTACTCAAACATGGATTTTATCTCATATATTTTGGCGCGTAAATGCAGATAACAAAATTACTCAAGTTCCATCTTCATTTCATTTCGGCTTATAGTTTCTTACTCAATTTTACTCACACTCACACTCATATACTCACACTCATTCGGCTTGGAAGTATATGTATGCATTGTAAATATAGTTCTTGAATGTCCTTGGTTTTCGTGTGAACTGTACTGGCAATTTTGTCAGTTACTTTTTTTTTAATACAAAATGAATGCTATAATAATGCAACCCCTAAACATTTCAGTTCACATACCAGTAGGTAGAAATTTTCCCGCCATAATTTTATCTGCTACCAAACGAAAGATATAATTTTAAAAGCATCTGTGTTATTAAAAAAATATCTTTCTCTCTTTGGAACTTATTTTCTGTGTGGTAGGAAACTGAAGGAAACTGATATATATTTTTTTATAGCTTTATTCAATTCAGGTACACATTTAAATACTAAGTGATACGAGTATAAATAGAATTTCATTATGAGATATCGGTTTTCAATATTGTTTCAGGCTAAATCTTGCCATGTAAAATCACATTGAGAATGATAGTATAGACAAAAAACTTAAACAATTATTTGTATAATTATTGGAGCTAACAATTAAGTTCTCTATGCGTTGTAAACTTTTCTAAGAACCGAAATGTTACATACATCTTTGTTATATTTACTTCTTCTTTATTGAGAAATATCAAATCTTGAAATATTCTCAGACATTTCTATATCTAATACCAGCTTGTCAAAAAAAAAAACAATTTTGAATTCCTACATTAAAACATGTTTTTTGAAAATCAAAGTAAGAAAAATTTCCAAAGCCTCTTACTTAAATTAAACTTCAGTTTATTTTTGTCTTAAAATCTTAATCTTTTCAGTCAATACAAATATTTCTATAAATTACTGTCGAGTATGTGTTCAAATGAATTATTTATCTCAAATAATAAAAATATTTGGGTCCTGAAAAGGACCATTGGGCAATATATATTGTTATTGCATTGTTAGTTGAATGTTATTAACTTAACCTCCGAAACCGTAGAGGGTGCGACCTTGTCTTTTCAAAGCATATACAACATCCATAGCTGTAACAGTCTTCCTTTTGGCATGTTCTGTATATGTAACTGCATCACGGATCACATTTTCCAGAAATACCTTCAATACACCACGAGTTTCTTCGTAAATCAAGCCAGAAATACGCTTTACTCCACCACGGCGGGCCAAACGTCTAATAGCTGGTTTCGTGATACCTTGGATGTTATCACGAAGAACTTTGCGATGACGCTTAGCACCCCCTTTTCCCAAACCTTTACCACCTTTACCACGACCAGTCATTTTGAATTTATAATTTTAGTACAGATAATACTTGTCTATTCAGACTTAAACAGTAAATAAATTCCACACTAGATACGCACAGTATTTATAGAAAAAATGAACAATAGAAAAAGGTATGAGTAAAAATGCTTAATATAACAAATTACTCAAAAATGGCACTCAAGTAATTTAGAGTGATTGCAGCGACTTTTTACAAGCCTGTATATGACTTTTTTGTTTGTTGACATATCCAACAAACGAAGAATTATACTTATCGTCACTAATTTTTGTCTTTCGTTTTCACTACGTGAAAAGGTTGAGCAGTTGTATGTGATCATTATAATAACTGTCGGTTACGATACTTTAAAATCAGACTTATTTGTTGTATGTCACTAAAACAGTAGTACTAGATTAGCACCAAGAAATGGACTGTTTCGATTCCTTTTGGCTAAAAATTGCTGTGAAGTGGGTACACATAATGTCGACACCTTATGTCGAAGCCATGTATGAACTGTTTAGAGAATAGATCAATTTACTGTTGAGTTGACGAATAACTTATAGACTAATCGCGCATATTTTGTGATCGCTTAGACCCAATGACAGGTAACATATAGAGGAAAGCCGAAAAAGTTTTTGGTTGTAGCAACTCACAGCTCGTTCTATACTAATATTTCAACATAGTCACATTCCGTCGAGTGATACGTGCAGCATTTGCCAAGAAGTAGAGGAAGTGGAATCAATCAACTACAGATGAAGCTACCTTAATGTTAAGACCATCGTTATGTTACTAGAAATAACAAATGCAAAGATATTTAATTTTATCTCCTAATCAATTGATTTAACAAGTATAATAGTAGGATATATATTGCAAAGATTGGTTTGTGTAGTTTACCTACATCTGGCAACTTTGAAAGCTTCTCAATTGGCAGAAGTTTTGTTCTAGATATTGCTGTTTCATTTTAAATCATGTTTTTAAAATTTAACTACACATTATTCATATGAAATCCTTTAATACTAGGACAACGCTTTTTTACATCTGGCAACTTTGAGAACATCACATTGTGCAGGAGTTTTTTTTTAAATATTGTTTTTTCATTTTTCTATGTCCTATTTTTCTATAAAATAAATTCATGGTTTTAAAATTTAATTATACATTATTTATATCAAATTTTTTAATATTCAATTTATATTTAAATTGTTACTATTTTTTTAATTTATAATTAATGTAAAAAAAAAGAGAACGTTTCCAAACCCAAAACTTTACTTTTAATATTGTGTATAGCAATTTGAGACACATAGTATTCGAATACAATTTATAGACAATATTTACAATTTTCAACAATTTTGTGAAAATAATGTTTTTACTAATTTTCTATTATAAAATAATTTCACATTAATTTTTTAATATTTCCACCAATCCTGATCAGCAGCTCATAACATAAATAACATAAATTTTAAAATTTAGTGTTTCCACATTCAGCTCCTATTTCCATTTTAATTAATTAGACTACCAATTTAGTCAACATCTTCAAAATCCCACAGACAATTATATTCTTCAGGAATACCATCAGAAATTTCATTCCATTTTTCATAGAGACTTAATGTAAAATCTTTAAATATCAAATAAATCGGTTTTGATCCAAGATATGCACAAATAGAATTAGCAAAATGAATTGATTTATTCGTTGAGCTACAACCAAATGTCACCTGTTCAACATGTGCTCTTTGTATAAGTAACAATTGATCTACAAGTGCTCGCAACCAAATTTTTTTATTAGAATGTGAGTTGAGAAACCTGACCAATAAAGAATATTCCTCATTACTGTCATTAATCTCAGTAATTTTTCTATGCAGATTAAAGCCCTCTTTTGGCATGTCTTCTAATTGCATAAGTATTGGAGCAGGAGTTTTCCAGTTTACGTCGAAGTTATATTTTTTTACGAAGTTTAGAAATGATTCCATATTCTCGGTACTAATTTCTGATATATTGTTGATATTCTTCATTATGTTTAGAAAAGATGACACACCATCACCCAAGTGTAGCCGCTGCTGTTTCCATATTGGATTTCTTCTACCACGCAACATAATACTAGAACATGCGATATTCTCTACCGTCTCTCTTAAAACTCCACTTTCTTTGACATACAACTTGGCGGGTATACACCGACTGCTTGTAATAGTACAGCTCTTTTGGTAAAATTTAGTTTTCATAAACTGTTTAAATTCGTATAGTGAAAGAATTTCATTACTGTACTCCACCAACCCACTAATGTCCATTAAACAAACGATGTATTGTGGTTGTGACAGTGGGGCACCTAGGGCAATATACGTTATTATTACCGATGGATCTACACTTTGTGCTCCACACATCAGTCGCTCTACTTTATTGCTTTTAACAATATGTCTTTCTTTGGTTGTCATCTTGAAATTTTAACAATACAAAACCGAAAATATTAATTTTTAATAATTTTATATAAGACGAAAGAGTACCATAGAGTCTAGAGTTTCATTTATTTATACAAATGATTTTATTTATCAAAAAATATTACAATAATAAAAATTTAAAAAAAATATTTAAAATCAAAATAAATTTTAATACATGTCAAATTTTTTTCTGGTAATTTTTAATATATTTATCAAATATAATGAGGATTGTTCATAATAATGCTTTAATTTTTTTATGACAAAATTATTTCCATTAAATAGGTTTTAAGCTTATAAAAAAATATCAATGCTCATATTTACTATCCTTCATTGGTAACCCAGCAATTTGTTCTTCAATATATACTTGACTCCATATATCCATTTAAAGAATTGCATGCATTGCTCCACCCCTAGATAAAAGTAATCCTTTATTAAAAGCTTAATGCTGGAAAGTATTTATATATTTTATAAGTTCTGATATCAAAGAACCATCCATACAATATATTATATCCCATATAAGTGCTTGAAGCTATTCTTCCTCAAAGTACAGTCATATTTCGAGTAAGGCTTGAAGTTCTAGTATTCATATAATGTGCACTTCTTCTTGTAACTAAGATGGTCATCATTTGATAAAATTCGAGAATTAAAAAAAGTTCTTTATACCTAAATTTATGGTTATGTTTTATTAAATATGCCATATATTTATTTGATAATAGAAGAAGTTTTTTCCCATTCGAACATGGTTAACTACGCCAAAACTACTAATACTAGTATATGGCATTAAAGTCCAATATTGCTGTCAAGTCAATATAAATATATATTTTTTAAAAATTATTTCCGTGAACTCACAATACAAATATCAGAGTAATTGTAGAAAATTCTGCCTGTAGTTGCAAATCGTTTTCAATTTTTCTGGAAATTCATTCAACGAGTACTAATATGCGTGAAAAATTTTAGGAAAATCTTCCCAGAAGTCACAATAAAAGTACCCTATATTTGACAGAGAAAACAATAACAGA